CACACTCACACACACACTCACACACACACACACACACACTCACTCACACACACACACTCACACACACAGAGACACACACACACACACCGCACGTGTGTGTTTCGCCTGCTTTGAGTCTCCTCTCCACAAACCTTTCACAGCTAATAGTTGAGTGATTGTTTTGGGTCTGATTGTGTGTGTGTTCTGGCTCTGGGCTTTCAGTGTGTTTTATGACCCGCCTACAAATCTGAAACTGATTTCGATTGGCTGACGAGTAGGGCTGTCACTAACGATTATTTTGGTAATCGAGTAATCTGTCAATTATTCTGACGATTAATCGAGTAATCGGATAATTATAATTATTTTTTGTGGTAATAAAAATAGGTTTTAAAATGACTTAAAATACATATATAATAGGAATGAGGCAATGATAATTAGTTAAAATAAAGTATCAAAAGCAAATAATTATATGATTTTATTGAACAACACTGTTAAAATACATTACACGTTCATTACATTATACATTAAAATACACATGTATTATAAACAATAGAGCTAATGTACATTATGCATTACAACAAATGCCATCAGAGGGCGCCAACGGCCTAACCATTGTTTTACTGCGCAATCTAATCCTCGTTTAATATTCACTAAACAACATTTGATTAAAATGTCCACTTAATCTTTAATATTTGTCCATTTCATTACGACAGAAATGCTACAGCCACTGTAATTAAATGAATATGTGGACATCAAAACGTGTAAACTCAGAGAGAAGGTTTAAACCTTTATTTTGAAATCGCGATGAACAGTTAGCAAATCGATGTATTCTCCTGAGTTTGCGTAGGTTTATTAATGATTTACCTTACAAATCTGATGAAATGGCGAACGTTGCGTTCCCAGATGAACGTTATAATAAACCCAAACTCACAACAACATGCAGAGACGCATGTGAATGATAAGAGTTTGTGCAGAGCAGCGTTTACTGTGAACTGAGCCGCTCTGACACGCATGCACGTAACATGTAAATAATTAAAGCGCATGTATTACATCTGCATTGCATATATGTATTTAATTGCATCGTAGCATTTGTGAATTCACAATAGCATTATGCTTTATTATGATTTTTAGATTGGTTTAATATATCATGCCGCCTTGGAAAACGGTCTAATAATGCGTTTCATGGATTCTCGTCCGTGAAATGCGCCACTTCCGGTAATTAGCAGATTACTCGACTCGACTTTTTTTCAAAATGAAATCGAGGATGCTTTGAAATCGAATACTCGAATAGAATCGACGAAATCTACTGACGAGTGAGCCTCTGCTTTGTGATTGGCTGATGTGTGAGGCAACGTGCTGTGATTGGCTAATGACTTCGGCTTCGTATCTAGGACCCCAGCGGACGTCACTGACGGCACCCAAAACTATGCCCGGCCCGCCGCGCGCCATAAGCTCCACCCCCTCCACCGGAACACGGCGGAACATGCCAATGTCACGGAACGGAGGCAGCGACGCTGAAATCATGGAGCTCAACCAGCAGGTACACCAATATATAACTATTTTTACAGCTACATTATTATTCCAGCCACAATTAATCACAGCATATATGTATATACCATTACAAATGATTAAACATATAAATCATCAGTTTGTTGTTTTAGACACATGCACACAGACATTATTTCATGCACGACATAGTCGTGAGATGCATAAGAAATCTTTAGATGCAACAAAAGACAATACTTCAGCTAGTTATAAACACTAACATTTTCATCATTTAAAAATCTTTATCTACATATATTTACATTTTTACAAATGCAGACCTGCTTAAAAGGTGGTTTTGGGAGGTTCTGTCAGGTTTCGCTCACATATTTGTCTCTAAAATATGGATAAATGGGTACAAACGCACACACATTGTAATACACACTCAGAATACAGGCAAGAGCCAATCAGAGGCAGAGAATGTAGCCTAATTTACATATGTATGTGCTTCTTGACCAATGAAATGAAATGAAATGCACTGCAACTGAATTTATATCATGAATCTATTAAATAGATAATATTAATATAAATAAATATTTTATTATTAATTTATTTTATTTAAATATTTATTTAAAAATGTATAAATATAATAAATATAAATGTAATATTTATAAATAAATAAAATCATATCAAAATAAAAATGTAAAATATTAAATAAAATAAAAATGAATATTAAATAAAACAGTCTGTGTGTGTGTCTGCGTGCAGCTGCTGGACCTGAAACTGACAGTCGACGGTTTGGAGAAAGAGAGAGACTTCTACTTCGGCAAACTCCGAGACATTGAGCTGATCTGTCAGGAGAACGAGAGCGACAGCAACCCGGTCCTCGGCAAAATCCTGGAGGTGCTCTACGCCACAGAGGTATCAGTCCTCATCATACATCATGCGTGACGCTGTGCAGGCCTGACTCTGCCACAGAATTCAAAGAAGGTCAAAGAGTGATTGTGGCTTTACATCTCGCAACTCTTGACTTTTCTCACAATTCTGACTTTTTTCCTCAGAATTCTGTTTACTTTTCTCAGAATTCAAATTTTCCTCAGAATTCAGATTTTTTTTCTCAGAATTATTTTTCTCTCGCAATTCTACATTTTTCTGATAATTCTGACTTTTTTCCTCAAAATTCTTCTTTTCTCAGAATTCAGATTTTTTTTCTCAGAATTATTTTTCTCTCGCAATTCTACATTTTTCTGATAATTCTGACTTTTTTCCTCAAAATTCTTCTTTTCTCAGAATTCAGATTTTTTTTCTCAGAATTATTTTTCTCTCGCAATTCTACATTTTTCTGATAATTCTGACTTTTTTCCTCAAAATTCTTCTTTTCTCAGAATTCAGATTTTTTTTCTCAGAATTATTTTTCTCTCGCAATTCTACATTTTTCTGATAATTCTGACTTTTTTCCTCAAAATTCTTCTTTTCTCAGAATTCAGATTTTTTTTCTAAGAATTATTTTTCTCTCGCAAATCTAAATTTTTCTGATAATTCTGACTTTTTTCCTCAAAATTCTTCTTTTCTCAGAATTCAGATTTTTTTTCTCAGAATTATTTTTCTCTCGCAATTCTACATTTTTCTGATAATTCTGACTTTTTTCCTCAAAATTCTTCTTTTCTCAGAATTCAGATTTTTTTTCTCAGAATTATTTTTCTCTCGCAATTCTACATTTTTCTGATAATTCTGACTTTTTTCCTCAAAATTCTTCTTTTCTCAGAATTCAGATTTTTTTTCTCAGAATTATTTTTCTCTCGCAATTCTACATTTTTCTGATAATTCTGACTTTTTTCTCGCAATTCTGACTTTTTTCCTCAGAATTCAGATTTTTTTTCTCAGGATTCAGTTTTTTTTCCTCTTGCAATTCTGAACTTTTTCATGCAAATTCAGTTGTTTTTTTTCTCACAAATCTGACTTTTTTCCCTCAGAATTCTGAGTTGATATCCTGCAATTCAGGGTTTTAGTTTTTATCCTCAGAATTCTGAGTTGATATCCTGCAATTCAGGGTTTTAGTTTTTTGTTTTGTTTGTTAGTTTCGGCCACAATTAAAAATTCAGACTAAAATAGGGGTTATAAAGACCAAAACTGTGAAATTAAAGACGCAGTTACCTTTTTAGTTTTTTAATTCCGTGCCGGAAACAGGCTTCCATGCGGCGTCCCCAGACGTGCGGTTTATTGATGTTGGGTTTGTTTCAGGATGGTTTCGCGCCTCCGGAGGACGAGGAGATTGACGAACAGCCACGGGACCAGGATGAATACTGATCCTCCTCATCCTCACTCTCTCTCTCTCTCTCTCTCATCACGTCATCCTTCTTTCTATCTCTCCCTCTCTTTCACTCCATCCCCCACCAGCAGACACTAGGGGCGTGGTCTAATAGGCTCATAGAGTGAGTAGGGGCGTGTCTATGCTAATGAGGTCTGAAGTGATGCAGTGAAGCTGATGTTTTATTGGCTGTGGGTTTAATGAAGAATCCAGACGACTCGATGATGATGATGATGCAGTGACACTTTCACACACACACACACACAGCCAAGGTTATCAACTAACATTTTTTTTTTTTTTGATTTGGGCTCCAATCAGCTAATTTATTAGAGAGCTTGACGCTTATGTCATTTGTTTTATTTGCATTATCTTTAGAGGGGTTTTACTGTAGTTGCGGTGAATGAAGTGGAGGCTAAGGATCGAATCCCAGACAAAGCGCAGGTTAAATCAGCCTCAAATCAACATGCAGCCTGTTTACTTTCTTATTCTGTGTTTCTGATCTTCATACATTCACAGTCAGTTGTTAGCTTCATGCTGACTGTAAAGAGTTTGTGTGTGTTTAAATCATTACTGATAGTGCAGGTGTGAGAGTTTTATTTATTTATGAAGGAAGCCGTCAAACGGCATGAATACGAACAGCTAACATTGAATGAAAAATTCTCTAAATTCATCATTTTTAGCCATTACTAACGGTTAACCGACTGATGATACGAAACCGAGTTTTCTAGCTGCTATATTTTAATTTAACATTTCATTCTCAGTCTTTTTTATTTGATTGACAGGCCTGTGTCATTAATCCTTCACCCCTCATCTGCTGTCATGGCAACCATTTGCAGACATGCATCCATGTGGAGTTTTACTGTGTAAAATAAAAATGTGTGCGGGGAATGAAGGATGTGTGTTTGCTGGTTTATTCACATTATACAGACATCAGACACTAATAAATGATATAATATATAATCATATCACATTAAAGGGTTTTAAAGGGTCACAGTGATGGATTTGAGATTTGTTGTGTGTGTGTGTATACTATATATATATATATATATAAAACATACATATGAGTAAAAAATATTTAGTCAATAAAATATATAAAAATATGGTCTCTTGTACAAAATTTATTATTTGCACATTTTCATTCATGAAGATGAAATTTAGTTAAGATTAATTAAACGGAATACCTTGTCAGTTTTTCCACACAATTTTAGTGTTTTTTTTGTTTTATTTTTAATTTTACATTTTCATTATATAATTTTTAGCAAGTACTTTATTTGTTTTTATTTTTAAATATATTTATTGTAATTTTACATGCATACAATTTTATTTTTAGTAAGTGTTCTTAATTTGAATTGTTTATTTTTAAATTAAATTATATTTTTATGATTTCTAGTGTTTCAGTTTGGTTGTTTTTATTTTTAAATTAATTTACATTATTATGATGTAATTTTTAACAAGCACTTGTAATTGTTTTTATTTTGAAATTGTTTCATTTTACATTTTAGTGATTTAATTTTTAATACGTGCTACATTGTAATTTTGTATTATTTAATTTTCAGTAAGCGTTTCATTTTAGTTGCGTTTATTTTAAAACTGTTTATTTTAATATTACAATTTAATTTGTTATTTTCATAGTTTATTGTCATTTTACATTTTTGATTTCATAAATGGTTCGCTTTTCTCCAGCTCATATTCAAAAGAATACGTTTGCTGAAGTGACGTCACTAACAAAGAACAACTTCGAACAGCGCATCCAATCGTCTGCTCTTTCCTGTACATGAAGTCACGTGCTACTCAGCGGCGCTTCCGATTGGTCAGACGGGTTTGCTCTCCGGAGTTTAGCCTGCGCGCTAGCGGGTTTACTCACTGAAATATCACGTTTATTACATTAACAACACATTTTCAGACGCGACATAGCGATTATATAATAAATACTACATGTCATTTACGTTTAATAAGTTTGAATGAAACAATACACAAACCAGACAGCACTAGTAGCACATTTAGCCGTGCGCCCTACGGGATCGGTCTGAAATACACTCACTAGCAGTTCCTCCCGCGCTGACCGGAAGCGCTCAGAGAGTGGACGCGCTGGAACAGGAAGCAGTTCCACGCGCCGCAAACAGACGTGGCAAAAGAACCGTTGGTTTGATCCGATCAACACCGTCGGTTATTGATTATCATTCATTTCTTTTAGATCGAGATTATGGCCTCCGGTGCGAGCAAATGGGAAGTGGTGAAGAAAGGCAAGAAACCGAACATCAGCAGCAGCTCCGGAGGAAGAACTCAGGAGAAGAAATCCGGCCGGAAAGCGCTGAGTGAGGCCAACACTGACAGCAACCGTAAGAAGCAACAAAACACACGACATTAGCCGAGAAATAACGTCCTAATAACATCTGTCGGGATGAATAACGTTACCTGATGTATATTAGTTATCTTTCAAACCATCGGGAGCCCTCACTTTGCTTCCACCAAACCAAAGTGTTTTAAAACGGGTTTATTCGCTGTTTATGTTCAGAAGAACTGCTATTTCTGACAGTTGTCAACGGGTAATCTTGTTAATGCTATAAATTAATTACAACAATAAAAGAAAATGTAATCAAGAACATACATGAACAACAATATCACATTAGACCAGAAATTCCAAAATGGCATTCCCCTTACATTCAACTTCCAAAAGTGCATTCATCTTTGCCATGTTACATTCATTTAGTTGACTAGTGCTATACGCTGTATTAACAAAAACATTAATGGCATTAATAAAAACACTGACAAGCTACGCAATATCGCGTTCATAATCGAATGCGACTCATCTGCGATTATGAACGCGATATTGCAGTGATCTACGGCTCTGTGTAATAAACGCCGCTCCATCTGAAAGCACGTGATGGAGATTTACTACTAATCACAGAATACTGATTTTGGCGGAAACTACATTTTTTTGAAAACGGCGTTTTGGAACCAAAGTCTTCATATATTTGCGGTATAAGTACCAAAAACCATCTCAATATATTTTTACAGCTCCTCTCTCAGGAGCTCTGCTAAGAACAGGTTGATTTTGGCCTGTCTAATTAATATTCATGAGCCTCTCTCCTGATTGGCCTGTTGTTTTCTGAGTGACGCACGGACAGGCCAACCACAGGTAACGAGGGTCGTGTATGCTGTAGCCTGCTGTGGATTGGTGATACTCACAAGTAAGGTCAATAGAAACACCGGTAATGATGGTCACTGCTGAGGGAAATGTTGTCCGGCCGAACTCAAACCCCGAATCGGCGTCAAACACCGAATGCAGTAAATACAAACCAGACCAGCCGAGCGTTTGCGATCACGTGAACTTGAAGACACTTGTACAAATGCAGATGGGTGACATGAAAGGAAATGATTCCAGATTGGCGATGTAGTATTTGGTTTCTGTATTCTGTACGGTATTTTCCTGCGCTCAAACCTGCCAATCTAAAGGATCAAACGCCGTGTATGGCATTTGAGGTAATTTGTGAATTAGCATAAACTTATAGTCTAAATAAAACCATTTGCAGCTGTTGCTATTATTACACTTGTATACAAAACTTTGTATTATGCTTGTTATAGAGTGTGTGACGTCACGTGCACTACCGCCGGTGGCAGTAGACAACCGCGGTAGTGAC